GTCAGCTTTTATGTTTTTAACCTAAAAGTTGCAATACTGTAATATGTTTAAAATTTAAGGGTTGTATTAAATTTAAAAAGCTCACTTCCAAAATATATTATTCTAAATAGAATTAAAATAATTCAGTGAAGACAGACTTGAGTAAAAACCAATGAAAAGTAAACTAGGAGATGGAAGGTTATAATTTTGATTTCTTATTTACCTGATAGTATTACTTATGGTTTGTTCTGGGTAAAAATCAAGAACAAGGTTCTACCTGCCACACAAAGCTTACATATATTCATTTCTCATAAAACGTTATAATTTCTTGGTAAGCATTTCATGTCCAATTTTGTTTGTTACTTTCTTGGGTAGTTTTATAGTCTTCTAACTCCTAGAAGATGGCAAGATAAAGGAAGTGGGCATGACATTATCAATCAAATTAAAACTACTAACTTGGGCTCCCAGATGTGAAATTATAATGGGTAAAGTCTTCTGCATTAATCCTTTTAAAAACATGTATGTAATTATTTGTGGAATAGAAATAGGACCTTCTGCCTCATAATAGCCATGCACGATTATCAGCTTTCTTCACATACTTGTAAAATTATATTGGACATGTCTACTGCACAGGTATGTTGTGGAAATCAAATAAGATTCCCTAGAAGAAGCTTAAAAAAGGAAATATCTACAGAAAGATTCTGAAAAAGGATATTCTCTTGACCAGCAGCTAAAACTCTCTCCAGAATATCAAATCAACTAATTTAGCCAAAATTTTGTAAAATTGACTAAGGCCTAGTTTTACTTTACACACATAACCCCCCCACCCCGCTGCCCCCACACACACAACATTCACACACACATGCACCTATATATATATACATGTATAAAACCAAACTGGCCACCTTTACTTAAAAGTAATAAATCTAAAATTTGTAGGCCATTTAAGGGATAGTAGACATTACTTAATTCACCTGCCTTCTTTTACAGATGAGAAAACAGTTATGTATTTAAGCGACATATTATCAAAGGAGGTGAAATTTGGAATTAGAGAGTAGAAAACATTCCTCTTTTTAGGTAAAATGTGTATATATAATACAATATGATATGCATGCTATATATGCATGGATGTGTGTATACATATGTGTATATATATGTGTGTGTGTATATATATCCTAAACAGAAGGTATTACTATTTAATCGGGGGGCTACTAGGAAAACCATATCTAAAAAGGTTCCCCTAATGGAGTGGTAATGAAAACACAAAGCCAAACCTATATGAGGGTCCAAATACCCTAATTAAATATGGCGCCCATTCCAGTATCCTACAGCAATCAAAAACTTTCTATACCTTGAAATTATACAACTCTGCATACATAACCGATTGTCCTTAAGAACAACAGAATGCTGTCATGAGGTCATTCTAGCTGTTTATGATTTTAAATTGATAACCAAATCATTACTTGTAGCTTGATATCAATAGGTGCTATTATTCTGGAAATAATGTGTAGAAGTTAAAAAGAAAACTCGACTTGAAACATGTTTATTCTTGAATGGATTAGGCTCACCTGGCTTCAGGCTGGGGCAGGGGAGGGGTGACAAAGACAGGGATGTGAGTGGCAGATTTAGGGATTGAAGGGCTTATGACTTGAGCAACAGAGAACGGTCAGACTAAAGTGATTCATTAGCTTAAACTGCTTTTCACCTTACAGTATATAATTTCAAACAAATTCTTAACATAAGAATCAAAAGATCCAATAAAGAGAAATAAATCCCATCATATAATCTTACCGAGGTGCTTATAGAAATATTTTACCATATTTTCTAATACAGAGATGAAATTAATTATAGAATCATAGAATTCCAGAGTTGGAAAGAATTTGATGTTAGTCAAACCTCTTGTTACATACATGAAAAAACTGGGACCTAAGAATTACAATATTAAAATTGTGACCTAGAGTTTTCTTTTAAAATTCAATTGCACATAGATATATCAGGGATGCAATAATTACTCGAGGTTGTTAATACTCAAAAATAAGATAATGTATAGCTTAAATGAGACTGTAAGTTTCTTATCTTCAAAAGCAATTGAAACTATTATTTAGGGTTTTCAAAGATTTGAATGTGAAAACTGTAGAATTATAACAGTTGATGACATATTGTTGTTTTGGCCATACAGATGAAGATAGAGTTTCCAGGGATGTTCTGGTGTTATAAGTATTTCTGAATTCACTTATGACAGAAACAAAGCTACAAAAAATATGGTAGACATCATCAGGAAGCCTGTTTTCCAAGCATAAGCACAACATTTATAGCTATTGAATAAAGACGGATATTTAAAATAAGCTAAAATTTAAATAAACAAGACAATGGTTGTTAACACCTACATCCATGCAGGAAAAGCTAAGATATCTACTTAAATTACACTGAAATAGATTTTCATTTTTGCACAAAAAATTACTTATATTAATCTGGAAGTCCTAAACACACAGGCATGCGTGCGCACACGCGCACTCACACACACACACACACACACAGAAACAACAACAACAGCAACAACAAAAATAGAAGCCCTTTAGGGTGTCTAAAGTATTAAAATATTTTTATACTGATATGTGCATGGGCAGTTTAAGAAACCTACATTGGATCTAAGCAAGTTTGAGTCTACACTCCATCTTGGATCTACAACTTTGTTGCTGTGCTCCAAATAACAGTCAAAAATGGAATAAAATAACATCATATTAACAGTATCAAAGAAACTGACTTTCTGAGTTGTTTACCCCAAACTAAAATGATGGGACTTGCAGGTTAGGTGGGTGAAGAAAAGGCCACAGTTACACAACACAGTAGAGGTGGCACAATTTACAGATTAAAATAGTCCTTAGAGTACTTAATCAGTTATTCTTTAATATGGACTCTGATTCAATTGATCTTTCTTGGTATTGGGGACTAAATGAAAGATGGAATCACCTGCAAGAATATTTTGGGACAGAGACTTTTTTTTAGAAGAAGCAATGGTACTCAACTACCATGATAAGAGAAGAAAGGGGAGCTTATTGACCATTTCTGACTTTAGACATGAAAAATAAATGAACTAATTCTTTAAACATTTTCTAATCATCAGTCACTGCTGTGAGGTAGTCACTTCCTCTCCCAGAAGTAGAATATGTGGATTAGGACATTTATCTATCAGAAATATTAATGTTTACACTTCTAAGCAACAGAGACAGAAATGCTGCTACTAATTCAGGTACTCTAAATTATAATACTTAGTCATAAAGTATACATCCAATATCTAAAATTATATAATTTTAGCAATTTTGTTGATAAAATTTTAGCATTGCTCAGCATTCGTGGTTAGTTAATAATTTTAAAAAGCAATTTGAAACATAAAAGGTATAACACAGGCTTAGTATATTTTAAAAACAATTAACCAAGTAAATGTTTTAAATTAGAATTGTTTCATGATTGCCAAACAAAAATTTTTCCCAAAACCACTGTTGTAAAATATTTCATCTAATTATGAGAGATGGTATAATGTGAAGTCCATACACACTAATAAATCCTCAGAAAATGTCTACCCCATCTCTCACTCTGATCTTCTGGAGAGGAAGGGCAGGGGATTCTTCAGGGTTCCTAATCACAACGTCGTTTGTCATAAGAAATCATATTTTATAATTTCACAGGAGAGTAGAAGAAGAGAGGCACATGGTGTGGTGAGGAAGAGGGTTATATTCACAATTAAAACTGTGAAATGCTAAACTCCATTATGAAGACAAATAGGAAAGTACAACTTCATTGTTGAAAACAATTTCCCTCCTATCAGTCCAAGGATTCATGCATCAATATTGTAGATGAACTGTTAATTACAAAATCAATTAAAAATTATTTCTAAAAACAGTCACGCGTCCCTGGCTCTCATGGGGGCAATTTGGGCAGAAGGTCTCATCTCACTAGGACCGCGCCAAATCACAAAGTCGTCATCCACAAGTAAGCAAAAGCAATCTGGTTTTTCATTTTTCAGCGCGGCTGAGCCCAGCCTGAGATTGATCGTCACATATGGCCCCAGAAAACAAACTGTCAATACCTTGAATGCTGCAGAATTTGAACAAATAGCCGTCCGCCCATTCAAGCCACTCATTGCATCCCATTTAACAGATTTTATTGACAGTTTCCTTCTTGTAATTAAAGGGAAAACTACTGGCCGGCAACCAAGATAAAGTTCAAAGATAGGGTCAAAACAAAAGCAGATGGAGGGGCACGGTGTGACTGTCAATGGTACATAGCATCAGAGCATGTTATTGACACACAGGTATCTAATGATCGGCACGTCATTAACGAGGGATCTATCCTGAACTTTATGCAAATGCTAAAAGAGACTTAAGACCATAATAAAGCATTAAGAGAGGCACAAAGGGAAAAACAACAAAGCACCAACGATTTTTACTTATTAGAAGTTGTTCTCTGTTTTAGCACATTACGGTTCAAATGTAAAGAACAGTTATTCCCATAATTCTTAACCCTTACTGCATAGACAGAATTTGACTTCTAAAGAACTCCAGAATGTAAGAAAACAGTGTTGTTTGATAACCAAAACTCAAAGAAACACTAAATATATTTTCTCAATTGCACAATTTGCATTTTTGAGGGAAAAATGGTTTGTGTGTTTCAACAATTCCCTTGTTTTAACTTATGCATAAAAGACAATGGAACTAATTTTGTCCCGGGAGTGTCCATTTATGCTATTCCTACAAAAGCTTTTGCTTTGCTGCAATCCAAATTAGTAAATGCATTAGTTGATAAAAGTTTCAAAGCATTCAATAAGCAAGTCAAATGAAATTAATTAGCTTTAAGTATATTTTTCTTATTTCTAACTTTTCACGAGAAAGCTATACTGATTATAATTTTGCTGACTCATACAAAACTTACAAACTAGGTCTTGCAAATCCCTGAAGAAGTTTAGGAGAGTGGTAAAACTGACATATTAAAAAATGTAACAATGACTATGTCAGTATGCCAACCTGAATTAGCAAGAGCTATAGCTTTGAGGGTGACAAATTCTTCTTTCTCCAGCTTCATGCTCTTGTATTTCTTTACCAGCTGCAGGATAGCATTATTTAGATCAAGAAGGCCTGCTAATTTGGACTGGTCTTCGTCCATTATATAATCGTCTGCATAGACAAGTTCATCCTCAAACGAAAGAGACCGGTATACGACACCAAGGATCAAAATTTCCATCCAAGCACTCTGCAGAAGGCTCATCTGGTCTGCCAGGGACAGCGTGGAGAAGCCTGCATGGAAAGATGGGCAGATCAAGTTACTTTAAAGCCATAATTTCATAATGCAACATTAGTTTCATATGGTAGCTGGCTTCTGCATCACTGCTCAAAATTATGCTGAGCTTTGATTAGAAGCTCTTAAAATTTCCCCTGGATCACTTTGCGAACAGCAAAGTGAAAGTTACAAACCAGCTTCTTCAATTTGGGGGTATTTTCTATAAGTTTTATAGACACAGCTTACGGGAATATTATAGAGATGTTGTTTTCTTTCATTCAAGAAGAAAATACCATGTAATCTTTAAATATATTTGATTTCTGGTTGAAGTCTTTAGGAACCTCTTATAAGAAGTCAGATTTTCAACTATCTGATCTCTAAAAACTACTATTGGAAAACAACATAAAAGTAAAAAAAAAAAAAAGAAGAAGAAGAAGAAGGAGAAGGAGAGAAGGAGAAGCAGCAGCTAAAAGTAAAAGATAAACAAACAATTTAGGCCATAGCACAACTTGGAAACATTTCTGTATAATATTAATATACAAGCACAATGGATGATGAGTTACAACTAGGTGAGCCTTCTTAATTGGCTATTTCCCCTCACTGATACTTAACATGAATTTCTTTTAAAATTAGTGATAATTGGTATAAAAGAAAGTGGAATACTTAGAAGCCTGGCCTCCTCACCAAATAGAAAAGCCCCATTCACTATTATTACTAAGATCCAATTATTTAAAAAGTTAAATATAAATAAAGGTAACAGGGTTTGGTGCAAAGGAGTCAGATTCTGAATGTAAATACTGGCTCCACTCAGCTACTGGCTCTTTCACCTTGAGCAAGAGAAATTAACTTGTGTCTTAAATTTTGTATTTGAGAAATATAAAATATCACCTACCTAAGCATTAGGTTATAATTTGCAATTCAGTAAGTGTTGCTGTATGATTAATATATGTTATTTTTATCTGAATTACCTATGTGATCAATTCTTTTCTGCAAATCTGGGATGCATTCATACATGCATATTTAAAGTCCCTCTGAGCTTGAGAAAACATATGCAAAATAATTAAAAAGAAAATGCTGTTCAATAGAGAAAGAGGAAGCAGTACAATTAAGCCTACTTAGGAGTGAAGATATATATTTATATATCAGAGGAACTAGATCTGTATTCTAAAGTGAAGATACTTGATGATCAGAAGCTTTTCCCAAGTCCTAAAAAAGAAATGTTTCTTAAAACTTCACTTTTATTTCCAAGTGTCTGCCTAAGACTTCTAAGGGTAACCAGCCACCTCATGGCTTCTGAGAACAGGGGTACCATCATTTAAGGTCCTGCCACCAGTAATTCTACAGAAAGGAAGGGCCGTTTTTAATAATGCAACTTAAGAAATCTATTTTTACTCCCTTTCTAGACATTATTATCCAAATCATAAATAGCCACTGGTGACCAATCTTTTTAGGCTACTGCTTATGGTCACTGTTGCTGTCCTTTTCATTCATATCAAATTGTGCATATCCCATATGATATTAGAAACTACAGCACAGTAAAGAAAAGGAAATGATTTCCTGATCTATTGGTGAAAAATAGTGGTTTGCCATTTGGTACCATTAATTATAAGTGCTTAATAAAATCATCAGAAGGGATGAGTCAAGCTTTTCTTAAGGGAGTCTTTAAGGTATATATAAAAATGCATTTCTTTCATTGTTTATCATGGTGCTTACATGTTATTTGACAGGATTTATTTTGGACTGGCTGTGTAAGTCTTTTTCTTATTCTGTTTTTGTCATTGCGTTTGGGGTTAAATAAATAAATATCCTCTTAGAGATATAAAAGCTGATAACATTTTAAACAGCGATTCAACAGAGAAAACTAATTGTTTAACCTAAATAGGTTAGGCTCCAGATGCTTTTAATTTCAGCAATGTTATATTCACAACAAACAAACAGAAAACCACATTGCTCTTTTTTCTATCCCCCTCCAAGGAAAAAAGATGCAATGCAAATCCAAATATCGACCTCAAGAAAACATACTAAGTAAAAATTTCTTGTGTAAATTAAAAGACAAAAAAACATCATCTGGAAAGTTATGAGCAAAAATGAATGGGTCTTTTCAATTTGCCTTAGTTTTCTTGTTCCTTTTCATGCTCCCAAGCCGCAGTTTTTCTGCAGCAGCAGATGGACAGAGCATGTAGCCCGCAGCACCTTCCTGTGACAGCCCTATTCTCCCTCCCAGACACTGCTGTTAGTAAATAGATTTACACATTCTCCAATCTCCACACATCTTTCTGCCGAATAATTAAAAGCAGGATGATTAGTTTATTGAGTGGAAGGAGGAACTTTTTTATTGAGGTCCATCCATGATTTTATCAGGGCCAGCACTTTTACGGTTGTCAGGGGGGTGCAGGCATCCAATTTTTCTTATCTGCCTGATTAATACAAACGCTGTTTCAGGACGCATTAATTAACAGATACAAATCTACGTTCTCATGGAAGGATCAATACGGAGAAGAAAAGAGGCATCAATGTGAATTTAGTGCTGATGATGGAGAAGGCACGCTATCGACATTTACGTGCACGGAAACTTTAAAGTTGCACCGGGCCCCCTTTGTCCCTGTGATTTACAATTAACAATGTTCCAGCCATAACAACATTTCACACATTTCTTTGGGGTTTAATTAACCAAAAAACAATAAAATTTCATTTTTAAAGTTGATCCTGCAATTTATTTCTTCTATATTGATGGTTGTGTGTGCATACGTGTGTGCATGTGTGTGTGTGTATCCTTCTTGCAACCCTAACTTTTTCCTTTTGCTTCTCTACAAAATAAAGAGAAGGAAAAAAGGGGAAGGAAAAGCTCTCCTTTTTTGGTCAGGGAGCATGAGGAGATGGATATGGCACAAAAGGTTTGACACGTTTGCTTGATTGATATCCTTAAGTATATTTCAGCTGATTAAAGGAAGTATAATTTTTGCAAATCCAAAGGAAAAAGGACAATCTATGCTTACAAAATAAAATAAAAGTCTGAACGTCTATCTTTTCTTGGTCTAGAAATTGCTGGCTCTCATTTTAACCCTTTCCTACCACACCACTGCAGTCTGGAAACTAGTACAAAGAGCTCTCCTGCCCAAATGCCTGAGCAGCAGTTAGACAGCCTCGTTACGAGATAGTCACGTTCATCTGGTCACTAAGGAGGCCAAATACATAATAGGAATTTTATCTTAATTACATAAAATTATTTTGCCTTTTCTTTAGGAGTATTAGCTATGTTGCACATACATAAAAACGCATGGATAAAATAACATTTTTATCAATAGACCTGAGCAAAGCCTAAAATTCTAAATAACCGAGGCCTAAATGAAAATGCATGTTTTAATAAACTGAGTTGAAGGAATTTTCTTAAAACATAATTGCTCTATTGGCTTACACATGCTTGTATCCAAATGATAATTACTTGTTCGTGTTTTTAACAGGCATTGAACGGTATTTTATAGCTCTTGGGCTATGAGTTAGAGGTCTTCATCATCTGTAATATTTAGCTATCTTTGGAGAGAAATCTCTTTACCAAGTGAAATAAAATATGCTTCGTAATTGTGTCGTTTGAACTTCATGTTTTGTACATCCTGGGACCTTAATCTTTGGTGTGTGACAGGTTATAGTTTTAAATGTTCAGCCATATTACAGCTTTTTAAAATACACTGATACTATGGCACATTTTTTCTTCCCCAGCTACAGCCCATTCCGTGCATATCACTGACAACTCGGATCTCTCTTCATCTCTGTCCCAGAGTCAGTGCCATTTAATGTATCTCAGGCATTTTGCTTGCAGAATGACTCTCTACCTTGACCCGCAGTTAAATAGCATGTTTATCTGCAATACAGTGTGCTCCAAATAAACCAGATGACAGTTGGGAATAACATCATTTGGAAGGATTGAAAAGCTTCTCAAGAGGCAGGTACCCCTGAGGTAATAGGCTTGAAGAAAGCATGTTTTGTGCCAACCGTCTTGCCTTCTTCTACTGGAAACTTTGGAGGTTGACAGTGGTGCCATGGGCACTCGTCAAGCACTTTTTTTTTTTTTTTTTTTTTTTTTTTTTTTATTTTTTTTAGCCTGGCAAACTGATGCACTTTGCAGTCAACTTACAAAAAAGGCTAAGCGTTTGAAAGTGTGAAGGGCAAAAAATATCTGACGGCTAGTCTTCAAAAATACACTTTCATTTCAGAAAGCATAAATGTTTATTTCCCGAACAGAGTGTTGACAGAAATAGGCTGCAGCGCAGGCATTTGGGTTTAACCCCTGCTAGGCATTTTCTTCTCGGCTGCTTTCTTGAAATAGAGAGCAAGCATTTTAAATCTTCAGGGCATCCGCTAATATCAGTTAATCATGGCATTGATTTGACTGATCACAGTTTTTGAACTGTAGTTTCCCTGTTCCACAAAAAAAAATCAACATTTTTCAACAAATAGCATATCATACTAGAACTATAATTATGCCATAATGACTCACTGAGATCACAAATGAAGTTCATTTTGAGAAGCTGATTGAGCAATGCAACGTAAGCTAGATTCTTTTCTTTCCTGTACAAATAAACCTAATGTTTACAGGACCCAGAGCATAAAAGAATAACAGTGGCACTAACATTTGGTCTTAGCTACCAATAGACACACAGATGCATAACCCTTGTTAGAGATAAACTTATTTTGTATTTTTAAGCCAGATGTTCTTTTCACATATGGGGCAGACATATCACTTTGTCCTATGATTCACAAAACACACAGCTCAGGGGCTTGTAGGAAACTTTATATATATATATATATGACTATATATATATATATATATAGTCATATATATATATAGTCCCTTGCAGGAGACTTTATATATATATGCACACAGATTTTTTTTCATGAACTGGAACTCAGTAGGAGCTAGAGTTAAATATCTACAGATGGTTAACTGCAGAAGTGAAAGCTGGAACATCTACATGGTGCTATCAGAAGCATCTTATTTAAAATTTATTTAAAATTTTTA